GGCAGTGCTAGGACCGCATCCTCTGCGATTCTCTCCTTCAACCCATCAAATGCTGCACGCTCATCTGCACCCCATGCCCATCCTGCCTTCCCTGTCAGCCGTGTCAACGGTTTGGCAACCTCCGCGTATCCCCGAACAAAGCGTCGATAGAAGTTGGTGAACCCTAAGAAGGCTTGGACTTGTTTGACGCTCTTTGGTTCTGGCCATTCCATCACGCCCTTGATCTTGACTGGGTCCATCCGCATCGAATTGTGTTCAATAATCACACCCAAATATTCGATTTCCGTGCGTTCGAACTCGCACTTTTCGGGTTTCAGGTACAGCTTGTGTTTTTGGAGCAGTTTGAGTACTCGTTTCGTGATCCGCCGATGTTCGTCCAAGTTCTCTGTGAAGATCAGTATATCATCAAGATAGACTACCACGTGGCCCTCGTTGATCAGTTCTCGGAGTATGTCATTCATCATGTTTTGGAAGGTTGCCGGGGAGTTTGTGAGACCGAAGAACATGACCAAGGGCTCGTACAGTCCGCGGTTCGTGCGGAACGCAGCCTTCCACTCGTCGCCCTCTTTGATCCGTACGTTATTGTATCCCCACCGGATGTCGAGCTTGGTGAAGAACTTTGCACCGCATAGATTATGGACCAGTTCAGAGATCAGCGGCAGCGGGTACCGATTTCGGATTGTCATTTCGTTCAGCTTCCGATAATCTTGGACGGGGCGTAGCGAGCCATCCTTCTTTTTGACAAAGAAGAACGCTGATGCCATGGGTGATTTGGAAGGCCTGATCCGTCCGCTGGCCAGGTTCTCTTGTAAGAACTCGTCGAGTTTGACCTGTTTGTTTCGTGATAACGGGTACACCTTGCAGTCCACTGCTTTGGAACCAGGTTTGAGCTCGATTGCATGGTCCCATGCCCGTCGGTCTGGCAGCGAGTCGAACGATTCCTTGGCGAATACTTTGACAAATTCCCGATATTGATCCGGAATCTTCCCCTCGGTCATTCTCTCCTTCTCTTTTTCCGCTTCTTCTGCGAATTTCTGCGCCGGTGTTTCCTTCAGCCGTAGATCCACCTCCTTTCCAAAGTCGATCAGCAGGATCGATTCTCCCTCTTCCAGGTCCGGTGCGTCCGTGTCCAGGTCGATTGCATCCATGTCAATCATTGCTTGGTGTTCCTCGTGACCCCTCATGTGACACCGCTCTGGACATCGACTGAACCTCATTGTCTGCTCCTGCCAATCCACCTCGGGGTTGTGTTCCGTCAGCCAATCAAGACCGATGAAGATCCGAGCTTTCCCTAAACACGTCAGGAGGAACGTGCGTGTCTCCACGTGAGGACCGATTCTCATCCTTAGGTCGACGTAATGCGTGATCCGACCACTGATGTTCTCGGTGTTGTCGGCGTTACAAGCCACAATGGGTTGGGGAAGTTCTTGGATATCCAGCTTTTCTGCCCGCGCGTAGTCGGTATCGATGCAGCAGGTGCTACAGCCACTATCGAGTAGCGCCTTGACTCCGCGCGTCTTTCCTGAGTCCAGGCCCGTGATCTGGACATACACATCCATCGAATGTCTCTTCCTTTCGGCCTGGTAGTTGCGCAGTTCCTGCGCCAGTCTGCTGGGTTGCGGGCCCTTCTGCCTCTCGGCTGCCCATTTCCTTTGAACGGCATCCGGCACCCTCGTGCGTTTGGGTGCTTCTGGAACCCTGATTTCGGCAGATTCCTTGGGCGCTTCCTCCTTTTTCAAGGATTGAGCCTCCGGAGCGATGCTCCCCTTTTCGGTCTTTGTTGACGTGGTTCCTTCTCCACGAGCCATAAATACGTAGGAGTCCAAAATTAATTTATCCGCAGCTTTCTGATCCTTTTTACTCTGTAAATACTCTCTATTTAAAGCTATTTTCTTTTGACGTTCCTTTTCCATATCAGCAACAAGAAAATCATGAATATTAGTACGTAGGGAGTCTGAGATCGTGTATGCATGAGGAGAATCGTTCATATCTCTAATCGAAACAAGTACAGAAAAACGTCCATAGTCCGGACGCTCCACCTCCTTGGCTAGAGGAGTGGAGCGCTTCAAAAACCCTTCTCGCGCAGCTTCTCAGCGATCTCCTTGAGGAACTCGTTGTCCTTGTCCCCGTTCTCGATCTCTTCCAGCATCGTGGCCCGATTGAAGAATGTGCGCTTCTTCCTTGGCTCCGGACAGTTCCGCGCAATGTGCCCAGGCTGCTGACAGTTGTAGCAGATGATATTGCGGCTGCGGGCGTGGGTGCGATCGATTTCCATCGGAACTGGTTCGTTGGCAGCGGGTCGGGCCGGGGCGGGTGCAGGTGTCATTGGGGCTGCCTGCGGGCGGAATTGGGGAGGCGGTCGTGGCGCGGATTGCGCATGCGATGCTTTGCGCAGCTGATCGCGTAGAGCGTTCGCCTCGATGTTGACACACCAATTCTTGAAGGCACCATATGCCTTGGGCAGGGGAACGCCAGTGTTGTAGAGGCGGCTTGCAATTTCGCTGCTGAGTCCGCGCTCCAGGAACTCGATGAGGATATTGTCCTGTTCCCCCTTCTTGTACTCGCCCTTGCTGTCGGTGGAGGTGACCACGTTGTACCCCGCGTCTGCAGCCAGCATTTCGAAGTCGGAGATGTAGTCCGCAAAGGACCGTCTGCCCTGGCGAAGGGCCATGAGTCGGGCGGCAGCGACTTGCTCTGCGTTAGAATCCCCAAAGGCCCTCTGGAGCTCCTCCAAGAAGCTTGTCGCGGTGACTCCCGCCTTTAGTCCTTGGAAGCCCTCGAAATTGTGCTGCTTCCAGTTCATCGCCCATCTTGAGGCAGCGCAGCTTGTGCCGCTCTCATTGCGGAGGTAGGACAGGACGAAAAGGATTTTCGTCTCGTCCAGCGAGAACTCTGATCGATAGGCACCGATGTAAGTGGTGCACGCGTCCACAAAGCCCAGGTACTTGGACTTGTCGCCATCGAAATAGGGGGGGTTGGCGGCGAGGGTGATGCGGTGATGTCCTGACATGGTAGGAGCAGGTGCGGTAGGTGGGGGCGAGGGTGGTTGTTCGGAGGGTAACTCGCCAAGGTCGGGGAACTCGTCTTCAGGCGGCGGAAGGGCGAGGTAGGGGTTGGAGGATCCGGGTTGGTTTTGATGCGCCAGATCGGGCGACGATGGTATGATGGGGGGAGGGGATGGACTCCCAGATGACGATGGGAATCGGTACGAAATGGTGGATTCGTGTGCTGTACAAGCACTCGAGGAAAGGTTCTTTTGCTAGCAAAAAGATCCCGGGCCTAGCTCTTCACGTGCCCGATGATCCCGAGGTGCGTTTTCCCGAAGGTCTCCGCAGCACTCCTTGTAGCTACCGTAAGGCTTGGGTCGGGCTCAACGTTACCCGTGGCCTGGTGCTGTTTGCTCGATATGAACCTTTCACTGCGATCGCAGCAAGCGACTAGATGATTCGGTAAAAGGGTGAGTGGGGTGATAAGGGTGAAGAGGATATAGCGGGCGTAGCGGTGCAGGGAGCAGGGTAGAAGGTACGAGGTACGAGGGTATGAGGGGAGTCTTCGAATTATGTGACAATCAACCTAAAAACAAAGTCGAAAAGAGAAGTGAATTCGAAGACTGGAGAATACAACCAGGTAGCTACAGTATTTATACCCAAATCCAGTCTGAGTCATATCTACAACTAATGAGTCATAAGACTATGTACCGCATGGAACGCTGGTCATGGGTTGTAGTAGAACCTTCCGGAGCATATGTCGCGCAGCCTCGAATCGATAGAGATAACCCCTGGAACCCCTAGCCCGGACCGTCTGATGCCGTGATCCGTGATAAGATAAGTCGTGCCAAGATAAGATAAGATGTTGATGATAAGATGCAAAAGTGGTCAAACTATGACACTCTCTCCCTTTGGGCTGGTGGGAGTTGCCCTTACACCTGCTCACAGGGCACCACCATATTTCCTGCTCACGAGAAACACAGATCTGAGCTGTGCCTGACACCCCCAAACAGCAGCAAGGCTGATCCCACCTCAGACACAATGCTGCAAGAGGCACTACCACCTTCCAAAGCCCAAAATCCTGACAGATCATGTCCTACACTTGATTGACAGGGTCTGCAGTCTTGTCTTTTCACACAAAAGGGCACTAAGAACCCCTCTTCAATCCTAGTAGCACAGAATCCTCAAAAAAAAAACTCTATCTTCTTGAAACCACAATGATCAAACACCTCGTGTAGGTAATATCCTATTCACATGGGCTCATCAGGACCATTTGACCGAGTGGTTAAGGTGATCGCCTGCTATCCTGCTTAGTTCAGCGGTTGGGGTTTCCCCGCGTGTGTTCGAATCGCACAGTGGTCGAGCTTTTTTTGCTCTAGATACTCGGTAACGACACTTCAGCTCCACCGGGCGACTTTAAATCCAGCCGTCAGAAGCTGATAACTTTTTCCCTCAAAAGCCTTGCGGCCTCTAACCTCCAATATTTCACCCTCCCATGGCCAAACTCCACTGAACTTGATGCCATTTTGGTCTGAATCATCGGGGCGCATAGGCCTTTGTCTCGCTCGATCTATCACCAGATTCAAACGCGGGGCTGCTGTGAGTGTATGCCATATTGCTTCGACTCTATTGGATCGTGCAGCACTCGATTATCCCGGACCACATAGAGTCTGTAACTGCTGATCACGAGAAGCTAGCCAAAGATAGCCAGACAGTCTGAGTCGATTCAGAACAAAGGAAATGGTAAGCGGCTTGAACAAATTCATCTGACTGCAAGTGTTGAAGTCAGGTTCATGTCAAGGTGGTTGGGATGTCCTTTCAGCGAGGAATACGCCCGTTGGGTCTCGGCCGAGATTCGCCGATTCGAGTTCCCAACCCAGAAGACAGAGACTGTGGGAATAGAAGCACTACCCAGGCTCAGAGCTGGGACCAACATCGAAGAAACATGGAGGAATTGACAGAGCTCAAGGATTCTGGAGTTGGTTCAACGGAAAGCCCTAAATCATCGTGACTGACCCGTCTGGGTCACATTACATCACGACCACCACCATGTCTCTGCCCCCCTCCACCTATGACCCTCGGCGCGTCTGTCTCAATCCATTCCCCGAATTGAACTTTGAGAAGCACAAGCGCACATTAGGCGTCTACACTGCCGGGTTCCTGGTGCGTGACTCGTCAATCGAGCAAAACCGCAACTCTGACTTGAAATATCGTGCCTGTGCGCAGTTCACCCTTGCGAACTGGATATTCCTGGACGCATGCATCCTCTCCGCCCACGCTAAAGCCCCGTGGGGTCAACCGGACACTCCAGTTCCCGTGCACGTCAACTTCGCCGACTGGGTGCCAGGCATATGCTCGCTGCTCGGTTTCCTTATAATCAATCTCATTGACAAAGACCGTGTGAAGGGAGACGACGGGTTCGGGGACCCCAGGGCGGTGTGGAGAGCGAGACTATTCTTGTTTCTCGGGTTTGCGTTGATGGCGGGAGGTTTGGCGGGGAGTGTGGTGCGTTATGGCTTTCCGCGCACTGAAGTTGCTCACCAGGAGCATTCAGACCGTTCTGGTGCTGAAATACATCATGCCTGAACACACACCGCAATTCCAGTACTACGGATATGCCAACGTCAGCCAGAATGTCGCGCTTATGTTGTCGGTTGCTGTTTTATGGATGGCGCAGACCACGAACAACGACTACGAATACACACTTGCCCTGTAACTTACATTCATCTGTATAATGTTCGATCACAAGTCATCCTACTAATCAAGTGTGCTCCATAGTGACTGGAGTGGCCCCTCAATACCACTCGCCAGTTTGTGCACCGTTTGCCAGATGTCTTGCGTCACCAAATCGCGCTCCCTTCCCGCATCGAGCACAACCCACCGGCCCTCGCTGAATTCCCGTCCGATCTCGGCAAAGATCTCCCTGACCTTGCGCTGCATTTCCTCTTTCTCGTATCTCTCTTCTCCATATCCGCCGCGTTTGCGCGCATCCTCGGGAGAGATGTCAAGGAAGACAGTGAGATCGGGAGCAGGGAGCGAGACATCCGGTGCGCGACACCAAGCGAGTGGGAGGCCTTTTGCCGCGGAAAAGGCGACGCCAGAGAACGCGTATCGGTCGCAGATTACTGTGGTACCTTGAGATACGAGGTTCTTGATCATCGAGCTGAGAGGTGTGTGACTTTGAGCGATTGGGGAGGAGTAGCAAGGCGCACACCAATTCCCATCGGTTTGCTGAGAACAATAGGTGGATAGCGCGGTCGTCAAGTTCGGTATGGGAGCGCAGATACGCGTCGATCATTTGTCCTATGGCCGTAGTACGATCTACACAGGAAAAAAAACAGATTGTGAGCCCACTGGCAGGTGGTTCGAGTGGCAATAACAGACCGGGAAATTTGAGTAGTTTGACATTGAGACCCTGCTCCTCCATTCGCGCCCGCAAACGGTCGACTTGCGTGGTCTTACCAGACCTGTCGAGCCCTTCGATGGCAATGAAGGCTCCACGTCTCGTCATCGTATGAACGACTGAGACCACGCGCACAACGATATAGCGGGTTGAGTGATCGGTCAACGCGTTTCTCAAGATGATGGAAACAGTTTCTAGTTTTGCTCTAGAACTACGGTACTAGTGGCATGCAAGCACAATGCTATCAACCAACCCCAAAGACGTGCACACTGGGGTCACACCAGATGATCGTACAAGATACATTTATTTCTTCGATTGACCCAACAGCCGTAGCCCAGCGAGGAGATACAGAAATAGGGAATGAGCGACAAGGCCTCACGCGTCAAGAACAAGCGTAGATGCCGTCCCATTGATCCACGAGTGGGTCTGAGAGACGTGCTCGGAAAAGCAGGGACAAAGGAAGTGAGGCCAGTCCGACGAGCCCTTGCCGCAGATGACATCATCCACGAGTGCGACAAGCAAACATAACCGACACGAAGAAGAATGGGCCGGAAAAGACAGTGGGATGGTCGGAATAGGATATGTAGACGGATAGGAAGGGGTAGAGGGTATGCGTTGCTGGTGATAGTGTTACAGTGTCGAGCTAAGCAGGGTTGTTAGCGGTTGAGTGGATGCTGGAAGTAAACTCACATACCAAAACCTTCAATTGCGTGGAAGGGGGAACAGAAGGAAATAATCGGGATATTATATAGTATAGGGTCGACATGGATTGAGGCACGCAACGACCGTGCGATACATTGAAGCACAAGAGGCGCAACCGAGCTCCAATCATTGGCGTCAAGATTGTGAAGAATCGACAGCAAGAAGACGATGCAGTGCGATGCGAGATGCGATGTTGCGAGAGCTGCCAAAGTGACTGGTCCGCTGGATGAATGGTCGTCGAGAACAGCGACGATCACAGGACACGAGGTACATCGGCAACGGAATGGCCCGTAGAAAGGAAGGCGGAGTGGAGAACGGGCTGGGGGTCTGCGGCTGAGATGGCAACGTCCAAAATAATACTCTTCGGCTATAAGTTACTCGCAAGACAGACACACCCAGCACAGATCTGCACCGGGGCTGATGTCCCGCAGTTCGGTTGTGTTTGGGGTTTTATTTTGTTGAGACTGCAATCAGATCAGTTATATGAACGGAGAGCAGTGAAGAACCCACTTCTAGGTATACACTGAGGAACCGATACACGGAATGAGTCGAGACAGATAATAAACACAGGTGAAACCGGGTCCGTTTGTCATGCCGTTTGATAAATGTCGGTTGACAGAATGGAGGAAGAGGTCGAACCCGGAGAAATGGGGGTGGTCGTAAAGAGGAAAGGTCGGACCAGGATAGGGGGAGAGGATTCCAGATAGCAGTTACAGAGCCAGGTAACCGACTGCAAAGCGCGAGATATTGGCAGACTTTGCTAGAAACCAGTGTATGTGCGCGGGTGTCCGTGACGAGGCGGCCGGTGACGGGTAATAAAACGGAAATAATGATAAAGATAGCGCTCTGCAGGAGATAAACGGATGAGTAGATTGCAGAGGCAGATAACCCACCAAGCAAAGAGCGGCGGAGGTAACTCGTCCGGACTAGGGGAGTTCTGGAAAGTGGAACTCGCAAAGTATCCATCTTCCAAGACCTGTCCGTCCTCAGCACGCTCACTCGACCGACTGCGTCTGGGGTTGACCAGCTCCGGTGCGAAGAAAGGCATGGGAATCAAGACGCCCTCGCTCAGGTGCTTCGTCCGAGCAGCGAGTCGACGCTTGGGGCTCGTTCCGGGCGGAGTTGGAGTGGTGCTGGGGAAGGGAAAAGACGAAGTGCCAGACTGCACAGAAGAGAGAGGAGCGGTGAATGGGGGCTCCGGAAGCCGAGTGCGTCTGGGTGGCGTGTGGGGATCGCTCAGGCGAAGGGCTGGGCGGAGGCGGCCCACAGCAGGCACGCCAGCATTGGGAATGGGGAAGACTGCCGGAGATGGCGTCGTAGGACGTGAACCAGCTTCCGTCATGTCATCGCATATGGGGAAAGAATCCCAAGCTGTAGAATCGAGAGTCGTGGAACGCACGGGCTTGCGACGAGGGAGACGAGAGGGAGCAGGTTCCGATCGGGCCACCTGCTGTCTAGAGGCTGCAGGCGCTGAGTTGGGGACGGGGATGGGCTGCCGACGCTTTGGACCTGGAGGGGTCTGGACAGACGGTGGCGGTGCCGGACCTTCTTTGAAAGGGTCTGGTGAGGGCTGGCGACGACGAGAGGGAGCAGCCTGCGATGAGCTACGTCTCGGTGTCGGCTGCTGCTGTTGATGCGCCTGAAGGTTTTGCGCCTGCTGCCGCTTGCCCTGGCGGCCCCTAGTCTCAGGTGTCTTGGTCGACGGGGCAGTTTCAGCTGGCGTAGGTTTCGGGGACTTCGAAGCGGGAACGGCTGGTCGCTGCTTAGGAGAGCCTCTGTGTGAGCCGTGGAAGTCATTCTTCGCCCGTGGCGGCTTTGAAATGGAAAGCAAGCCCGGAGTGCGAGTCGGTTGGACGACGACATTGGGAGCAGGTGCGGACGGATGCCTGCGGTGGGTGTGGATGAAAGTTTGAGCTATGGGCATTGGTTTGTGAACGAGCAGCATAGTAGCTGAGGGGCGGCGGAGTCGTCGTCGGGGGATGAAGGGTTGTTACTGGAGCCTGTTTGGCAACGCCTTTTGTTTTTAATAAGACTTTGCACCAAATAGCGAGCAAACATGACTCCTCTTCCCTTTCTGGGCCTGTCAGGGGCAATGTATCAGAATGGCGTGATCGTCGCCCAGCTTCCAGAACACAGCTGATTTACGACCGTGAATCCATGCATTCTCCGCGTTGCGGCTCTCACATTCCGTGCACTGCAGCGCTGTGGATCAAAACATTGCAAAGGGACTCAAGCGGTGCAGACCCGGCTCTCTTCAGCAGCCGTAAGCAGAGGAGGCACAGCAAGGCTGTGTCCGACGTTTCCAATCCCAGACAGCTTGTACTATGTAAGTAACTTCTCCCGGCATGCTCTGAAATGCAGCGTGAAACAGCTCTGTGGCCGAAGTGCAGCTCGATGTCATGCACACGCTGCTGACATTCATAGTCTTCTCAGTGCATGCCTCTCACTGGAACAAGCCTCGCCTATTACCGCTTGACATCCCCGTTCGTGATTTGGGGTGCTCCGAGGCTCGAGCAGCCGGGTCATGCCGGTTGATTTGGAACCTGCTAGCCCCGTCACTCCACCACTCCTTATTGAGAAAGCGACAATCTTAGGCTTTCCCCACGCATTAGACAACCTTCTACTGGAGCGCACAGGGTTCGCTTTTCCCGGCAGTGGTGCTCGACTGTATCTTATCTTCAACCTCGTTGGGACATCGTGGTATCTTTCCTAGCCGAGTCAATACACACTTCAGTGCTGGATGCTTGCCTCCCAGATCACACGTGCTGAAGTGAGACATGGTTGGATCCATCACTGAGACAATGGGAACATGTCTTTAGCCACCCATCCGACCGTCCATCCATCCTCGAGGCAGACTAATTCAGGTGCGATCTGGAACTCCCACCATCAGATTTTGTGGTCTTCTGGACATCGTTGCTGTTCGCCGCTGGAAACACGTGTTGTGTCAGCTCCAGCCCCCTGTCATAATCTTATCCTGGTGGGCCAGACATCTCGGAACAGCTGCGACTGACCACAGTATGGACAATCGGCAGGGTCCTCATCCGCCCAAACTCCTAAGCGCACTACTTCCCTCCGCACCCGCTAATCGCGATAAGCCGCTCCGAGTTATATACTCGCTCCACTCCATTTCATGAGCAGTCAGGTGGTGAGTCCCGTCCAAATGTGGGCGATAGCTTATGTAACGGGCGTCGTTGTTGCACCCACTCGAATTAGTCTCTGGGCTTCGCTCTCGGGTTTCGACTTCAGCAATGATTATAACGTTTCCTTTTTTCTATTCCATTGGGACATAGTGTACAATGTATGGATTGGATACATACCCGCATAACAGAAGAGATCATGTACTCTCCTCGTCGTCTGATTCTTCCGGTAAGAAAGTGATATGACGCGCCATCGTCCCCAGAGCTACGGACAAAGAACTTGCACTGGCCGTGCCCAGACTGTCTTGCCTTCTCAAGGTCTCAACTGACTCGAATTCAGCTTGCGTCAAAGGGCTGTCCGTGCGGGCCATGTCGAATGGCGACGACGACCGGACTGGTTCGCTTTCTTTTGTATCCGGTTTTTCTTCGGTGTCAATGGCCAGAGGCGCCAGGCCCTTCCCACCCGAAATCTCAATCGGCTTGGTCCATATCCTCACCGCTCCATCATGGCTGCCAGTCGCAAACATGAACGGATCCTCCGCGGCGTGGTTCCATGCAATACAAGTCAAATCTCCAGATTGCTGAGCGGCCCGGATATGCCGAAGCAGTGTCCCGCTTTCTTGGTCCCAGATGTGAATATCCCCGGCTGTGACATGAAGTCAGAGAGGTACCCAAATCCAGAACAAGCACATTGACTGACCTTTTCCGGCACATAAGACCAGCTCATCGTTCTTGCCGCCGAAGTAGCTTGGGCCAGCAAACTCGACCGAATGTTTGGGCATGTAAGTGTGTCTGGTTCATTGATTAGTATCGAAGGAATTGACGGCCGAAAGCCTTGCCTTAGTGTCAATCTAGCAACCATTTGCGACGGATGCTCGCGATCCTTCACTAAATCCAGCTTCCATAATTGCGGTGGTGCCTTCATCTTCGTCAGCTGTTGGGATGCAGACTGAAGCGGACGACCAGACCTTATTTTCGTAGCTGACCAATGCAACGAGACCGTTCCGTGTGGTGTTTCGGGCTAGGGTGACATCACGGACATCGTTGAGGACAGGTGTTTGACTGGTCGACAAAATGAGTGGTTTCCTGGGACTGAAAAGATGACGCACTGCTCGAATGTCATTGTTTCCATGTTATACACTGAAATTCGTTTAAAAAGAGACAGACGGCCGCTCCGGAGAGCACTCACCCATCAGCCGTTTCTCCGCTGGGGACCGGCTGGGGTGAAGCCCTGTCGGCGACTCGAGCAGGGGACCGACACCAAGAAGTCGCACACCGTCGGGGGTGACTGTGACGTCGTGCAACTTGGTCCGTCCGAAATCGTACGTAGCCAGAACATTGCCGCGGAGATCCAGCTTCGTGACAGTGTTTTCCTCGACAGAAAGGAATGCTACAAATACGGTCAGGACCGCATGACCGTCGTTGGCGTAGCAAGATTAGACACACCCTCACTTCCAGGGAACCAGGCGATGGATTCCACATTTATCCGGCGATCTATGGTCTTTTGACACACACCATCCTGCGACCAGACTTTGACGCCGCGGATGAGTTTAGTGAGGAGCATGTTACCCGTATCCGACCTGAGGCCACCGTTCAAGCACATTCCGAGGAAATGAGTTCGACGCTCACCAAGCCACTTGCCCGACAAAGCCTTGTGGATGAGCCAAAACACGGTGGGGCGAAATCACGGGTTGTTCTACGCGCCAGATGATTGAAGTACGGTCCCAACTGTGATAGATCGGTGGTTCATCTAGGTTCCACTGGGACGGAACATACCTTGACGTAGCCAAGAAATTGCCGTCGGGTGAGAACTGAAGGTGTCTGACCAGAGCCTGATGGGCTTCGAGAGCGTCCGTAGCGGCAAGAGCATTGAGTTTTGGTTTGAGCGTGGCAACTCTCGACCGGAGCAACAGAGCCTTGACGGGCTCATCCCCCGTGCGCTTGCGATCCAGTGTTGCCAGATTCAGATTCGAGGACGATGTTCTCTGCCTGTGCGGGGTGTACGGTCCGAACGGAGCCGCTGCAACACTTCGCATCTTCACTGTCTGCATGGCATTCTTCCAGAGGATTTTTCCGCGCGATGGTCCACCAGGTGAGCCGGGGGTAGGCGTCAGTTCCGAACTGGTCCTGACGCTCGCAGGAACCGGGGTCGTGGGGGAGGTGTCCGACGCAGCTTGTGAAGCGCTGGCCTCGCTGAATGTCCCAGGTAAGTTCAGGACACTGCCCAGAGCAGAGAGTTGACGCATATGACCATTGCCATTTGCAAGAGGGAGAATCGTGCTGGTCGTGTTGGCCTCAGGATCGTCGCTCTTTTCCGAATCGCTGTCTCTGTTCAAAAAATGGGCTGTCTTGAACACAAGCCGTTTCATGAGTAACTTGAAGTTCCGCAGACGTCTCTTGGTTCGCCTCCAAAAGCGCGCAGTGGCAGCCACGGACGGAACTGCCATGAAACGTTCATACGTGTCGAGCAGGACTTCCTGAAGCCACTTCCGCCCGCGATGTCGCGAGAAAACCCATCGCTCCGATACGAACCAACCCGACACGGCAACCAGGCCGAGGGAAGTAAACACGGTGAAAGCAGTCGTAATCGTCGCCGTGACCCTGGACTATGAATTTTCAGTACAGGGCCAGAACGCTCCAGCCATTCAACCTACTTGACCCGATGCATACGCAAACAAACATAGACCAAGAGAGAAGCAGGCCACAGACATCACTAGGAATACCAGCGGAGATCGCTTGATCCAGATGAGCACCCACCATGGGACGCGGTGTCCAGGAGATCGGCTGCCCTTGTTTGAGCAGCATTCTCAAATGCAGTCTATGATATCACTCACTACATGGCTTGTTTCCAGGTGAGCCCCAGGAGACTGTTGACTGCAGCAGCGATGCTGAAAACCAGGGACGCGAACCAGAACGAATTAACTGCATCCTGGACCGGTGTCCCCACCAGATTGTATGAGAATTGTAACGTGGTGGCGGTCACTGCCGAAAAGAAGGTCGCCACGGTCGACAGGTTGAGTAGGTTGTCAGTTTTGTGACGCTGTCCGAATCGGATGGTAGGTACACCTGTGTCACGGATGTCAGTTTGGCACAGCCAACAGATCGACCAGCATACCAATTTCGACAAACATCACGAGAGTGGAAGTGATGCTATCCAAGTGTTCTCCCATTTCTGGGGTTAGATCGTGAACATATCTTTGCACGGCCGGGTAACGGAACTGTCCTGCGATGGCTGTCAGAGAGCGGCCCAGTCAAACACACATTCCGTTATATACCACTGTAGACTTTCAGACAGGAGGCCCAATACTACGAGATATGATCAGCGGATACTTAGTTTCCATGATAACTCTTACCCGAAGGTCACCTTCGAACGAGGTTATAGATGCATTGATGGATTCGTCGTTGAATTCAGGAAACTCGTTGAGGCAGCGACCAAACGTAGCCAAGTTCTCAGCTAGAGCTTCGAATTGCTGGGGAAACAATTCCTGTGAGGATTGTAAGCACAAAACGACATCTAAGTACGTTAAACAAACAAGATCCAGGCTTTCGTCGATAGTCGGCCTTGCAATATGTGGCGGTGCGACATGCCCTTTAAGCTTGGGACCCTTGATCCTTCGTCTGCTTTTCCTGGCGTCGACAATCGCCTCCTTAGTCGCGTGCGGAATCTTCCGGGGAAAGAGATCGGCTGCATTCTCACGGTACAGGAACACGAGCTGGGCAATCCTTTCTCGGAGGTGGAACGCCGAGGACAGAATCGCCACAGAACTGCCCAATTGACCTGCAATCGGGCGCGTCAGTGTGGGGAGGCTTGGAAGGGATAGTGTACGCACGTGTGGCGTTTGCGAAGTTCCGAAGCTGGGGAGGATCAGTAGATGCTCGGACACCCTGCACGGTCACACACTTGTTTGTCCAAAGCATCTATCCTCCTGCCCACAACATTCAAGATTTTGTGTGGGGTAGCAAGCGGTGCAGTTCACGCACCGTTGGAACTTGTGGAAGGTTTCTGCACCGGCGGTCTGCCGGTGGTCGTCCACCGAAGCTGCCCGTCGTTCAATCCTCTACGCCACCCATAACGCAGCTTGACGTGTGTACTCACGGACGTCTTTGTCATCTTCGAAACTGGGTACTTGATTTGAGTCTGGTCGCAATTCGTCAGTGTCGAATAGCTAACCGGGCGTTGAATATACGCACTGAGATCCCCACTCCCCGGCTGCAACAACATCTCGACCAAGCTCAAGATGGTCTCTCGCCTCGTAGGCCGAGCGGCTTCCGCTCCCTCCGCTTCCATTGACATAGGTCGTTTCTTCTAGTTAGTCCTGGTAGCATTCTAGTCTGAGTCATTATCAGCGTCAGAATAGGGCACTGACCAGTGTTTCGTAAGTAAGTGACGCGTAAGATGTCGTCGAGAACCAAATCCAGGGTTGAGTCGTGGATGTCGTTTAGTCGTGCGTGGTTGCTGGAATCACGAAAGGTTGATATGTAAGCGTAAGAACGATGAGAATAGACAAGTCGTGAGTGTCGTGGTATCGCAGAACCGGTCGGTATCCGACAATGTTGAGAGTGTGGTTTCTCGCCAAGTGTAACCTCCAGGCCAACCCTTTATTCCGAGGCACTAGTTTCCTTTGACAGCATGATCACGGGCATGTGATGCAGCCCGTGGCTGATATTACCGGTTGTTCCAGTGGCATTGAGCGTCTCGTCATTTCGAGGACAAGTGAAGCAGAAAATAAGACATGTCCGGAGGTCTCCTGAGTCCTCGTGTGGGGTTGTCAATCGCAATATTAACGCAACCATTCAGCCCAGTCAGCGGTAATGATCGCGCCTATCTGCCGCGGGTGGTGCCGCGGTCCGTGGAACCGATCGCATCATACGCCGGTCAGTTCCGGCGGCTTGGTTGGCCTGACCTCAAAAGTCCAGACTACCTGACCATTCGAGTTCTTGAGATCTCGAGGTCAACGATTTTTTATTCACAGGATCCGATTGTCTGGAGAAACTCCAGAATTTTTGCTATTAGGTACTGAAAGCTCAGGCGCCAAGTTTCAAGTTAGTCCGTTAGGGTCAAGTCAGATATTTGTCCGTGTGTGTAGAAAATGATCTCCTTCACTTCCTTCCCCATCAAACCAGATTTCCTTGGACGAAACGTCCCAGCGGAAGATGAGGAACTCATGGACCTGGTCGATGAAGAGCTGGACATAGCTTCACCGTCCAGAGTGACTTGGCCGGGGGAGACGATCGCATCGTCTCAAGCCTACATGCGGTGGGTTGTCCGCAGAGGTCCGAACTACTTCTGATCAAGTGTGATTTCTGCAGCGGTCATGGCACATATGTCGATAATGAAGAAGTCATTGCGTCTGTCACTGGAACTATCGAGCGCGTGAACAAGCTTGTCACCGTGCGGGCAGTTCAATCGAGGTGCGCGTCGATCTTACTCACCCCCGCGACGCGACATCGTGCTCATTCCTCCGATCAGATATAACCCCGAAGTGGGGGATCTTGTAGTGGGAAGGATCACGGAGGTCCGGACACGACTTGACGCGCTTCATTCAGGTTTTCACATTTCTCCAGGTTCAACCTCGGAGATGGAAAGTAGACGCCCACTCTCGCCAAGACGCTGTCCTCATGCTCTCGTCGGTCAACTTACCGGGCGGTGTTCAAGTATGGCTCTTCTATCGCGATCCTATCCCTTTCTTACCCAGGTATTGGTCAGCGGCGAAAACTTGAAAGCGACGAACTGCAGATGCGGAATTTTTTCGAAGAAGGAGATCTTCTCGTGGCAGAAGTTCAGGCTTTCTTCGCTGACGGCGCAATGTCGCTCCACACGCGCTCTTTGAAGTACGGCAAGGTGCGCTACCGTTCCAATGGTGCCTGCACACTATAACTGGACAGCTTCGAAATGGCCAACTCGTTTCCATCCCTCCGATACTCGTTCGGCGCCTCAAATCCCATTTCATTTCTCTTCCTTGTGGAGTGGATCTGATCCTCGGATTGAATGGATACATCTGGGTCAGCAAGCACGTCAAAGAGAATGAACAAGAGGGTGAAGAGGGATTCGATTCGGAGAC